CAATTATTTTTATTTATTTTCTTGAAACAGGGTCTCAGTCTGTTGCCCAGGCTAGAGTGCAGTGGCATGATCACAGATCACTGCAGCCGTGACCTCTCAGGTTCAAGCAGTCTTCCCACCTCAGCCTCCTGAGCAGCTGAGACTACAGGTGCATGCCACCATGCCTGGCTTTTTTTTTTTTTTTTTTTTTTTAACTTTTTGGTAGAGATAGGATCTCACTTTGTTGCCTTGGCTGGTCTCAAACATCTGGGCTAAGCAGTCCTCCCACCTTGGCCTCCCAAAGTGGTGGGATTATAAGCATGAGCCACCGTGCCCAGCCTGATTTTTTTAAATAAAGCAGTAAGTTTTACAATCTGACCATATTCTAATTTCAGACTGAGAACTGGTTCTTTTTCAGAAAGGAGACCCTTGGATCTTGTCCTATGTTACTATGTCTTGCTGGGAGACTAGTAACAGTAGCTTGTGTATACTCGTGATAAAATGAGCTAACCTAAGCCTGAAAGAAGATGAGGGAAATGGCGTGGCAGAATTACCATGTGGCTCCATCCAGTTCTCCACTGTTCCCTCTCCTAGTGTTTACCTACTGGTATCCACTATAGCAGGCCTGCTCACATCTGACAGAAGAATCAGGAGGAAATTGGGTACCAACTTAGTTAAGTAAAACATTTTTGGAAAATACTCCTGTTATTATAGAAGGAGATACAAAGTGAAGGTTAAAGTTCAGAGCATTCTGATTCATGGGTATGTAAACATTTTGCATGGTACCTGCTTGTGCCATTCTAGAATTTGAGTAATTCTCAAAGAATTTCCAGACTCTCTTCCTGCATGTTCTACCCTAAAAATAGCAGTGGAAGTGTGAAACAGTATGGTGTGTGAGGCAACCGCAAGCAGTTAGAAGCGCTTCGAATGTAGGTTTGTGTGGGAAAGGGCGCACTAGGAGGAGCCAGGTGGTGCAGGGCCTTCTGTGCCATCTGAGATGTTTGCATTTTATCCTCTATGGATCTGCTGTGCATTAGCATCAGGAGAATGACATCAGAGATGAGTGTTTGGGAAAAAAAATCATGGTAGTAGCAGCATGGAAGAGAGCCTGCCAGGATGAGAAATTAAAACCAGGAAGACCAGTTAGGAGAGAGACTGAAAGAATGATCCAGCCAAAGGAGGATAAGAGGATAAAGGCCGGAACTGAGTCAGTGGTAGTGGCGATAAACTCAAAATGAGTGATAGCCATGTGTCAGATACTGCCTTAGGTTCTGGCCATTGTCTGTAAACAAAGCCAATTCCCATACCCTCGTGGAGCTTACACACTAGTGGGAAGAACAAACAGTAAAATGACTCCCTGCTCTTCAGTGAGTGACTAGGTGGGAATCACTAAACAGGAGTCTGTTTAGAGGGAAAGAATTTCAATACGTTGAATCTGGCGTGCTATTTATCCAATATGCAGTTGGAAATAGTCTGCAGTTAAGGAGTGAATCTTGGGCCCTTTTCAGAGGGCTAGTTTATCTTTGTTAGTTTTAGAATAGTATCAGTCAGGATTTTTGGTTGCAAACAGTAGAATCTTCTCTGGCTTATTTATGGAAGCAGAAAAGGGGAAACTTCTTAAAAGCTATTGGGTGTCAACTCATGGAGTCTCTAGGAAGGTCATGGAGCCATAATCTAGGTTTTCAGGAGCAGTGCCCACTGCCACCGCTGTGTCTACCACAGATGCTCAGGGCCACTGTGTCTCCACACATGGCTTCTTGTGGACTCTCACTCACTGGCATGCCCTCTGGCTGCAGGGGATTCTGAGCAAGTAATTTTCTGAGTCCTAATATGAGAAACAGCAAAATAAGGAGAGTTTTCAGAGACACTGCACAGTCACCAAAGTCCAACAAAGGTATTTTTGCATCCATTTGCATCTGAATACAAAAAAAAATAATTTCAGGAGTCTGTAGAATTTTATAGTGATCTACAGCATATTTTCATATAATATGATGAAGGCACATCATCTTTCTGTAAACAAAACTGATTTTTCCCATTAAAATGAATTTTGCTTTGATTTGTTAATTTGCTAATAAATTTGCTTCTGATTGATGTTCACCATCTGATCGGACAGCCCCAAAGTTATTTAATGGATTTCATTCTAAATGATTGTTTTTAAGTTATTAACATATTAAATTATGAATCTATCTTCCTATTGAAACAAACTTATCATGGATGACTCAGTTCCTGTATGTATTTTAAGATGTGATTCACATTCCAGTGGAAGCTCCTAGAACGCAAGCTGCTTGGCATCTTCAGAAGAGAAGTGAGAGGGACCCGGGATGGAGTCTTTGGTGGGCACAGTGCCTACAGACACATTGTAGACATTCAGTAAAAGTTGGGGAAGTGTTTCTAGGAATAGATGGGTGGAGGGAGAGAAAGAGGAAGGAGGAAATAAGCCTGTGTTTCTAACATGAAGCTGCCTCTGATTGTTCTCATAAACATAGGTTGCATTTGGTGGCTTAAAACAGCATTTCAAAATTCCATGTGTTTATTATCCAATCCCTGAGTCCCAAGGTAATGAACAATTTGAGAGTCATTTAAAGTACGTAGTTCAAAAAGAAAATAGGCTGTTATTAATAACATATAAGGACCAGCTATTTCTCAGAATTATAGAAGTTAGTGTGAAAATAGGCTGAATATATGATCTTCAAAATATATCATGGAACTTTTTATTTTTAATCCTCATTATTAGCTTGTTTTTCTAATGATTTATATATTTTACCTTAAATAGAGTAGGGATTATTAATGTTAACCGAGGTTTCCCATTGCCTTCACCTAGGAATACCTATTATATTTTGGTGACCAAAAGTTCTTTCAGCAGCAAAAATGGTGTTTGCTTGATTGTTATGCAACGAGGCTACTGGAACTTCCTACCTAGACTCAGGGGGAATAAGTTGACCTCCCTATACTAGGTAATACCTGGTCATTTATATAAACCTGACCTTTCAAAACAATAAAGATCTTGATTTTTTCACAGTTTGTGTTACAACGATATAATTAAGTATCTGCTGTGTGCCCCTTAAATGCTAGGCACTTGGTATGAAGAGATGAGCAGAATAGCCACAGCCCTTGCCCAGTTTGAACAGTTATCCGGAATTACATTCTATGACTTACAGTTTTGAGGATAAAAAAATCTTATATTTCATTAACGTTTATATAAGTTTCAAACTCAGAAGATAAAACTTTCGTAATATTCCCTAGAAACGAGGCATACATACTGAATATTTCTGGATGGCAGTGATTTACCATGTATTTTAATATTGACATAAAATATGATCCTTTTGAGGAAACACAGTTGGACAATATCAATCTCTGTGCTTAGAAAACTAATTTAGGTTATAGAATTAAATAACAAAAACAGATTGAGGAGAAATTGAAATTCAGTGTATGGAACCACTTTTGGAGCCACAAGACAGTGATGACCTACCCTCAGGAGCAAGACCCACCCTCGGGAGTAATGTCTCATTACTGCGATTTGACCAAGTTTTCACTTTTTCCTATCATCCATTTTGAAATCAGCTAAGAGTGTTTCAAATAGAAGATCACAGAGCTCTGGAGGAGATTAGCATTAACAGATCAACTCCACTTGCTGGGAGCATGTCCCCCTGCTTGCAGGTCCTTCAAGGTCCTGGAATGTGAACTGCTGCGCGTGTGATGGGGAAAAGGCAAACCACACACAAAATTGAAGTTCAGGGAGTTCCTATGGAATCCAGGGTTTTCAACCAGCAAGGTTCATAACCACATAATGATGTGGGGAAAGCATCAAGGGAGTAATAAGAACTTAAAATCCTAGAAATATAGCACTAAAAGGACTGTTCCTTCCCCTTCTCCAAGTTCTTTATTTTGCAGAATGTTTCCTTAAGCCCAGAGTCACACTCCTTTATCTATAAATTTGATGAGCATTCCAGAAAAACCATGAATATATGTCTTTCTTTTATTTTTTTTTAAAGGGAAACAAAGTCCAAATGCTTAAAAAGAAAAACAAAAAATAAAATAATATCATGTACTCATAGGTATAACTGCTAGCACACATTGGTTTTTATTTTTCTAGACTTCGAATCATATTGTCTATGTGTCTGTATGTGTCTAATGCAAAAATGGGATCACAAGCTGTTCTGCCAGTCAGCACAGTGATAAGGAGCAGGAGTTTGGAATCTCACCGTCCTGGGTGTGGTTCCAGCTCTTCAAGTTACCAGCGTATGTTTCTTTATCTGTAAAGTAACAATAAGGATGTACCTATTCACAAGATTGGGATAAATAATATAAAGGAGATCATATGTGAAATGCTTAATCTAGTATTTAATAAATGCTTAATAACCCATCCTGTTGTTCCTGGACTCTGTTACACTGTCCCTGTAACACCTGATTTTCTGTATTGATTGGGGCAAGCAGGGAGGCACAGATATGTTTTTATGTGCAGATTTTTTACATGCACACTCCAATAACCAGGGAAAATACATAGCTGTCACTTGATCCTGGCTTATAGGACCTTATTTTTTGATATAAAGTTCTGTGTTTAAAATTTTATACAGCAACATTCAGTTCAAAAGTGGCCTCAGTAATTTTTGTCCCTGTTATATGTTTTGCCTCTGTTCTCTTTGCCTCTTTTGAAAGTAAGTAAAATAAACTGTTTAGCAACCTTTTGGTTCTTTTTCATGTGTATGATATATATGTAGTTTTCATATTAAGTATCACAAAACTGTAGTATGTAAGTACTGTGAATATATAGTTGTGCTGTTTTATTTGTCTTGTTCAAGTAGAATGTTGTCACTTTATAATTTGCCTTAATTTCCAAATAAACAGTTATTGTCCCAATTTTAAATACTATCTAAAAATTAGCATAGATGTTTAAATTTTATTTAAGGTTTTTATGCTTTTATATAATTTAATGTGGAAATTAAATGTTAATATGCAAAACAGGTCCCAAGTTAAATTTTGTGACAAAATAAATATTTCATTTTTTTCTTCTTTTCGTTCAGCTCAACTGAGAAGTCATTTCCTTGGAGATCAACAGGTATGTTTATTATATAAAAGTTATGTTTGATATGCACAAATTACATAGCCTACTCTCTTAATTTAGTATCTCTTGGTGAAATAAGCCGAGCAAAACCTTTAATAGTGGCAATATTGAGCTATGTTGCTTTGGAATAGTAGTTCTTAATATGCTTAAGTTTTAAGTATAATTGAGTAAATTTGTATATGGCAATTGTGATGAAAAAGCATTGATTAATATCATCAATTTTTAATACCAACCCCATATCTGAAACTTTTCTTTTCCATCATAAGAAAACACAGGGCTGACCTCAAAAAAAGTTATATAATCAAGAAAGCTGCCAATTATTTGGGTCTTTCACTATGCTTACCATACTTAAAGAAAAGTTACTTGAAGTTTTCATTGTTTTTAATATATCTGCATGTAGAATATCTAGTAGCTTCTGATATAGTGTGGTAGCTCTTCATGTAATCTGTCTTTTCTTTTTACCCCAAAGTCATATATGAAGGTGAATTACATGAATTACATGTAGGAGACTGTCTGCCACTTAAACAAACAGTTGATGTCTTCATACTCATTAAATATATTTCACAAATGTTTATTGAGCATTCACATCATATACCAGGTGCTGTGCACATTGCCGGGCAGAGAGTGATGGGCATAACACACACTTGTCGCTGTCCCCTTTCCCCATGTAGCTTACATTGTAAATGATAATGCCAACAATGTATAATGCTGGAATAGGCATTGATATGTAAATACTTTGGTCCTTTTTAAACAAGACTTGAATTGAGGAATACTTAGATAACCAAATGCCCAGTATCCAAGTTTATCTAAATCTGGTGCCAGGATTCTGGTGTTGCTTATAGTACATACAAGGTCCTTGGCTGTCTTACAAAGAAGTTATTCCCCCCCACCCCCCGCCAAAAAAATAGTGCTTACTCAAACTGTTGATGAAGCAGAAACATGTAAAAAGCCACCTAACAATAAGACTTGTAAACAACAGTTTAGTATGAGGCAAGACACACCATGAAATAATATGTGGTTAACTGCCAAGTATTATATGGGAAATCTTGATATATGACAACTCACATAGGACATGGCAGAGGAGATGGTCCTGCAGCCTTGGGCTTGATTGGTGGCTCTGGAGAGGGCTTTGCCACTGGGCAAGAGAAGAGACAACACAAGTGTCTGGGGGAAGGGAACATTTAAAACTGGTTTGGTAGGTGGTAAGATGTGCAAAGGCTAGAGGGCTCGATTGAGTGAAATTACAGAGATCTGTAAGTTTCAGGTGCGTTATATTCTCTCAGTGGTCATGGGGAGACCACCAAAAATCCTTGAAGCAAAAAAATCATTATTTAACATTTCTCAGAAGAAACAGCAGAGCTGTGAACTGGTGGGAGGAAAAATTAGTGAAGGGTTAGACCAATTGATTGCAGAATTTGGTGTGTGAGATCATCTCAACTAGGTGATTCATAAGTATTTAGAGGCTGGTGTGGTGCTCAGGTGGTAGGCATTGATAATTGTGAGGTTTTGCATTTGGGAGGATGAGTGTCAGAATGGAGGGCCAGTTTTAGTGGGGGTCCTCTGGACCACAATGTTAGATGTGTTGTATTTGAGATGATTAAAGGGCAGCAAGTGACAGCACTGAATAATCAGCGTTTAGAAATGTGATTACTATAGAAAGCCCTTATTCAAATGTGAAAAAAACACTTCTGTTAAACTGATAGGTCCATGCATATTAATACTTTATTATGTGGTTCAGACATGTGGGCCAGAGTGCTGTGGATAAGTGAAAACTGAGTCAGAGAAAGCATGACTGAAACCTAGGAGAGCAGCCTATGCCAGGAGAAAGCTGCTGCTTTTTATTCTTAGGAGGTAATGAGAGAATGATCTGAAATCCGACAGAGGCTGACAGAGTCAGGTGAGATGCAGTATTATTTCCCCCGCTTTGTCATAGCATTTAAGGTCATTACTGAGAGCCAGAGCTGTGTCTGCTTTGCTCAACCAAGTATTCCAAGGGCCTTGTGGATGGTAGACCCTAGGTAATTCACCACCTGAGCAAATGAATACTATGTACATGAATGAATAGTAAATGCTGCTTTACTCTGTCCTGCCAATATTCAGTGTGCTTATATTAGCTTCACAACCAAATTCTAAGCCCTTGTAAAGGGTCTCTTTTTTCTCTCCTACTCCATGCCTAGAAAATGCCCAACCTTTAAAAGGTATTAAAAGTATACCTAATGAGTAAATGAGGTGAATATTTTCATTTAGTAACAAAATCTGTATTTTGAAAAATATATACACAGTAACTTAGGTTTTTAAAAATCTCAAGAACTATCGTTGATTCATAACTTGACTTACAATGCCTTAAAACCTTTATAGCCTAACAGGACATTAGTACAGTATTGCAGGTTTGTCTTTTTTATGGCAAATTTGCCACACATGCATGTGAACTTAATTATTTTTTTGTTTCTCTTAACAGCCTTTTCTGTCTTAACATATAAATTTCTTTATTACAATAGCGTTATTGAGAGATAATTCGTACTGTATAGTTTGCTCATTTAAAGAATACTCTTAGATGCTTTTTGATGTATTCTGAGTTGTGCATCTATCACCACAATCAATTATACAACATTTCGTCTCCCCTAAGAGAAACCATGTGCCAGTCAGCAGTCACCCCCATTCTACCCCCAAACTTACCAGACTTTGGCAGCCATTAATCTATTATACTTTCCTTGCTTATGCATTTGCCTATTCTAGATATTTCAGTTAAATAGAATCATACATGTGGTCCTTGTGGCTGGTTCCTTTCACTTGGCATGATTTTTTTTTCAAGGTTTATCCTTATCATAGCATGTACCAGTAGTTCATTCCTTTTTATGGCTGAATAATATTTCATTTTTTCATTCATCAGTTGGAAGACATTTAGGTATTCCTACTTTTGGCTGTTATAAATAATGCTTTTATGACCATTATTTATAACATTTATGACTATAAAAGCATTATTTATACTACATAAAAGTTTTGAATATATGTTTTCAATTGTCTTAAGTATAAACCTATTAGTGGAATTGCTGGGTCACATGGTAACTCTGTGTTTAACCTGTTAGGCAACTACTAGATTATTTTCCAGAGTGGCTGCACCATTTAACGTTTCTACCAGTTAAAAATAATGATTCCGGTTTCTCCACATCTTCTCAAATACTTGTTACTATCTTTTTGATTATAGCCATCCTTGTGGGTATAAGTAGTATCTCATTGTGGTTTTGAATTGAATTTCCCTGACAGCTAATACTTTTTTGAGGGGAGAGGAGGTTAATTTTTAGTTATAGTTCTTTAAGCAGTGGTGAATAATATAGAGCTTGTTGTATTTTAACCTTACCAACTGCCTTCATATAGACTTTTTTACTTTGTAAACTTAATTTTTCTCCTGATTCTAAATGCAGTATATACTCATCAAAAGATATTTGGAATATATTAAGTGGATAAACTACTTGTAATTAACCTCGTCACTTAGTCTTTCTGTGCATTTGTGTGTTACATGTAGTTTTTTTCACCTTTTGAGTGAAATGGGGAACATACGTATATGCAGTTATATTTGCTCATTTTTTCATGTATTACTGTATTATAAGCATTTTCCATTTAAAATTTTTAAGTTCATCTTTAAGACTGCATAATTTATTTCTGAAATGTTTCTTGAGACCCTTAAACACTTGTCTAACATGTAACTGTCAATGTTTAAAGCAAACATCCTTGCCCTCTTAAGAACTTCAGGTTTAATGAAGGTGGATGATAGTGGAGATGTCTAAATATATTCACCAACAGTTGGGGGATGGGGAATTCTATAAGGGAAAATCATAAGTATATACCATATTTACCCATGTCTCTATTATTGGACATTCCGGTTTTTTCCTATTTTTTACTACTTTAAATAACTGTGATAATCATCCCTGTATACAGAATTGTGTTGACACCTTTGATTTGTCTTAGGCTAGAAATTTCAGAAGAAAATTATTTAAAATATATGAATATTGTAATGCTTTTGCTATATGTAACCAAGTTGCTTTCCTGAAAGATTGTATTAATTTTCCCTCCCTCCAGGTGTATGGGATTGATCCTCTCATATTGCCACGTTAGTGTCATCATTTGTATTTCTAATTATCTAGAGAATATAGAAGTACAATATAGATTGCGCTTTTTTTTCTGTTGGAGAATTAGTGTTTGATGGATAAGAGTTCTTTGTAACTCAAGGACAATAGGCGTATATATTAGCCAGGGTTCAGTTGGGAAAACAGAACCCATGCCAGGTAGTTCAACATACAGAATTTGATAAAGAAAATATACAGTTACGAAAGTGTGGGTTGGAAGATTTGAGTGATTAAACAGGATGATGAAGCCCCCAAGAGATAATGATGCCAGGAAGCTGCTTTCATCTGTAGGACTGCAGAGACAAAGAGGGAGGGAGGTGGTTTTTTCAGAGTCCTAGAGCTGAAGCAGTTGTAGGGGGTTCGGACAGGGAGATTTCCAGCATTAGGTTGAACCAGGAAGGAGATGCCACCCCTGCCAGAAATGTGGTTTAAAATAGAGCCAGAGAAACACCCTGACTTCCCCATACAGTTTTTCTCCTAACCCTCACCAGTCAGTACACTGGCTAAACTGAGCTGGAGAGGACAGTTGTAGACTTCTAATTACCAAAAGCCAAGTAGACACTGCATATAATCATGTGTTGACTTGCAGTATACAGCGAATGAGTTGAGATTACGAAGACACATTATAGTACATGAAATACCTAGGGCCTTGGTATTCTTTCTGCCCCTTCCCACATTGCTTAAGTCATTTGACTGCAGTCTTCAGGGTTTTTATCACAGCCAAGTAATAAATACAGAGTACACACACAAAAAAAACTAGAAACTACGATTTGATAGCACGACAGGGTGACTCTAGTCAATAATTTAATTGTACATTTTTAAATAAGAGTATGATTGGATTGTTTGTAATGCAAAGAATAAATGTTTGAG